ATTGAGGGTGGTCTCACCCTAACCGGTTTGGCTCAGTGGATAGAGCGTCGGCCTGCAGACTGAAGGGTCCCAGGTTCGATTCTGGTCAAGGGCATGTACCTTGGTTTCAGTCACATCCCCAGAAGGGGGTGTGCAGGAGGCAGCTAATCGATATTTCTCTCTCATCGATGTTTCTAACTCTCTACCCTCTCCTTTCCTCTCTGTAAAAAAATCAATAAAATATATATATATTTTTTTAAAAATGGAGGGTGGCCTTAACACCTTCTTCGGGGTAATCCACAGTGGATGTCTTCAGAGCAGCTTAACTACAGCCGGTGTGCCCTGCACTGTCCCCTGAGGACGCTGGAGCCAGCTGGGTAGCTTTCTCCCTGAGTCTCATAACCATGTCCACCAATGACAATGCTCATTCACCAGATGCCCACCTGAACAGACTCAAGAACCCAGAGAAAGAGCACAGAAGGAGGTATCACCGCGTAGAGGTTAATGTGGAGCTGGGAAAGCTAAGAAGGATGACCAGATGCTGAAAAGGAGAAATGTGAGCTCCTTTCCCGACGATGCTACCTCTCCCCTGCAGACAAACCACAACACGCGGGGCACGGGAAATTGGTCTGCCGAGGACACTGTCAAAGGCATCAACAGCAACCGTTTGGAAAGCCAGCTCCGAGCTACTCCAACCACCAGGAAACTGCTTTCTAGGGGGAAACAGCCACCCACAGGCAGCATAACCTTGGCTGGCTTGACTACAAAAGTCGTGTCCTTCATCGACAGAACTGGTTGCAGTCCCACCCAGTTTGAATCTGCTTGGGCCCTCACTAACATTGCTTCTGGGGCAAGAGAACAGACCAAAGCTGTAGATGGAGGTGCTATCCCAGCATTCCTTTCTCTCTTGGCATCTCCCCACACTCACATCAGTGAGCAAGCCACAAGTGCATGGGCTGTAGGAAGCATTGCGGGTAATGGTTCCATTGTCCGAGACCTGGTTATCAAATATGGTGCAGTTGACAAGAGGCGCAGGAACCCAGGGCCAGGCAGGGAGGGGACCAGGGAGGCTTCACAGAAGGGGAATTGCCAGAACCGTGGGATTTTGCCGGGCAGAGGAGCAGAAGCAGCCCATCCGACACAGAAGCGGCAGCACAAGCAAAGGTTGGGGGGTTGTGAAAGTGCAGGGCTACTCAGGAGACCACTGAGTGAAACAGGGGGAGGCTCGGACAGGTCCAATGAGGGAGGAACAACAGCAGGAGATGTAGCTAAAGAGAATGGGTGGGAACAAACCTGGAGAACCGGGGTGTGACAAATTGTGTCTGTCCTCACGAAGGAACGCTACAACTCAGCAACGAAAGGGCACAAGTGGCCGATACGCCTAAGAACACAGAGAAATGTCAGAGGCATTGTGCTGAGTGAAAGAAGTCAGGCAGAAAAAGAACATACTGTTTGGTGCTATTTATATGAAGTTCTAAAGGAATCCACAGAGATCAGAGCAGCAGTTGCCTGGGGCCAGCTGAACTGGAAAAGGGCAGGAGGGAACTTGCTGGGGCGAGCTGTTCCGTACCTTGACTGTGGGGTGGGTACTTATTTGTCTAACTTATCCAACTGTATACTTAAAATTGGCAGCTTTCATTGTGTGCAAATTATACTTCTATGAAGTTGACTTAAGAGGTTTCTGGGGTGGTTTTTCGTGGCTGAGGACAAATTGTTAAGGACTTTAAATGTCAAGCTCCGAAGTTTGGGTTCTCACGGCCAACGCTGCAAGAGGAGAACATTATTTGAACCCTTCCGGGAATGCAGACATCAGCCTTGGACTCGTGCCTAACTGGAATAAATTTCAGCCTGTTTGTTGGGATTTGGGGTACACTGGCCCCTAGATCTCTCCTTCCACCTTATACTGTGGAATTTTATCATAGGAATCTCATTTCCTTTTATGGAGATTCTTGGCTCCATGGAAATGCAGTAATGGTCTCACTTGGCTACGGAGCCATCCCATTAACTTCAATGGCATTGACGTTGAGTTTCTCATTCTTTTTCTTAGAGATGGC